CCCTACGCTGCAGATTATTTAGTGCTTGACGCCCCCGCTGGGACTATTCTCACTCACCCCTAAGGGCTCACTAGCTCTCTCTCAGGGTGGAGACGGTAGCATTAGTGGTAGTGTCACAGGTCAACATCTGCTACTGCAGCCACTGCTAAAGCTAACACAATGTATCCGGATGTAGTTACTGCAGCTTGTCAACTGAACCGGTTACCTTCGCCAGGTGTTGCAAACTAATGGGCAGCAACAAATCATTGGTGACAGATTCCAATACACCGGAGATGAAGTCTGTTATACACATGTGATGATACAGATTAATGGTATTAGCTATTGTTTGAGCTATTCTCTACAGTAAAACAATACCCCTCGCATGTAGGTAATCATCATCATCAAGTGCCTTGCCAGCTGGCGTAGGCGTTCATGTATCTCCACAGATCCCGGTCTTTGGTGTTCTGGATCAGTTCCAGTGATGACATTCCTCCATGCCACTGTCTTCAGCCATCTACCATCATTTCTCGTGGTCTGCCTCTGCCTCTTCTACCAGTGATCTTTCCAGTAGTCACGATATTTTCCAATGCTCATTTTCTCATCACATGACCGAAGAAATTTCGTTTTTCTCCTTCTCAGTGTTATATATAATGTTCTACTTTAATTAGCCATTTCCAGGCAATCGTTGTTAGTTATTCTGGCAGTCAAAAGTATTAACAACATTCTTCTCAAGAACCACATCTCAATAGCCTCCAAACTCTTTTTAATTTGTTTGACTCGCTTTTAATGTAGGTAATAAAGAGAAGAAGAAAAAATCGACAGGGGAACTCTTGCGGCGAAGAAACATACATATTACACACGTACATATGAGACTTTTTAACAAAGCAGAACATCTGGGAGGAAGGCGGGAGGAAGGCCAGAAAAGATGTGGATAAATGGTGCAACAGAAACGGAAAAATCCATCAGCCAAGCCACCGGAGAAGCGCAAGACGAACACAGGGAACAAAGACACTGGACTACAACATGGTATCGGTGAGACGACAAAAGAAAGAAATCAAGAAACAAAGAAACAAACAATGTATTGATCGGCACTCAAAGAAAGAAGTAGAAAGATAGAAGGAAACATAAGACAACATGAGTTGTGTTGAGTTGAGTCAAGAATTGACATCAGAGCACTCAAGGCATTCCCATGCACGCTCCGTCCTCATCCTCAGCAGCCAGCGCAGAGTTCAAATACTGATGGTACCGTTCACAGTCTAGTTATATGTCTGTATTGCCTTTCCTCTGAGTGTAGTGAGCCGGCCAGACCCTCTTGTTACACCCAGGCGCCACATTCTCTCCTCTTCACTCTCTCTTAGCTGCTTGTTGAAGATTACGTCAAGCGCAGTGCACGTGCTACGTAGCTCCGGCGATAATTCTTTTTAGATACAAATGGAAAATGCATATGTTAAAGTTGTTACGGAGCAGGAAGTAACCGGTCACCCTAGCAGAGCCTGCCTGCTAGGGAAGAGGTAATGCACGTCCTTATGGAGTGCATAAGCCTGGCGCCGCCCCTTCCGCCGACCAGACGTCCATGTTTACGACTGCCTATCTCACTGCCATTCAGCCTCTCAGCACATAGATCCACCTTAGGTTTGGGTTTTTTAATCGAGGATGTCTTCTCTAGATCCATTGTGTTTTGTCCCAGGACCGTAAGGATCTGCTTGAGAGGTCCTGGTCACCCCTTGAAGGATGTGCTTTCTCAGTCACTCATAACGGTCTTGACTGAAGAAAGGTTTACCAGAGCAGAGAGAGAGAGAGAGAGAGAGAGAGAGAGAGAGAGAGAGAGAGAGAGAGAGAGAGGGAGGAAGAGAGAGAGAGAGAGAGAGAGAGAGAGAGAGGACTTATCCCTACAGCCTTGAGTCTCCGTGACCTTCGACCCCATGAAACTGTAGTTATTATGACGGGATCGAACCTATCACCTCTAAACGACGACAGTACCTCGCTGCAGGAACAAGTATACTAAGTCACATGGCTAACTAGACGTACCTAAAAATGGCGTCGTTAGTATGCATGACTGTCGTACAGCTTGAATCTACAACTATGTAATACGGAAAGAGTTTGTTTCATACAGATATATATATATATATATATATATATATATATATATATATATATATATATATATATATATATATATCTATATTCTAGATCCACTATAAAGGCACAGTGTGTGTGTGTGTATGTGGGGGGAGCGGGGGGTGGGGTCTGCGTGGCCTCGAGACATGGCGTCCGCATCGAGTACTGAAGGTCGCGGGTTCAAGCCCCGGTGAATGTTGGGATTTGTTCACGTGGACTTCTAGTAATTTCCCCTAGCCTCTGGGTAGTAAGATCAGACGCCCGTTTGTATTGTTGCGCATGTAGAAATGTCCTTTGGCAGTTGGAAATTGAAAATGTTAGCCTAACGGCGCCCCACGGCCAGTCTGGAGTTAAAAATTTACCTAAAGTATTTCAGGATCCTCACCGGTGCTACGGAGTTGGTGCACTGCGTTGTGTCAAAAGAGGTGATGAACACTTATGGGTTACTCCCCTTGTGCCATGATGTTGATGCGTCGTCTAAATCTAAATCTAAATCGGACCCGCGACCCCATTCACTAAAAATAGACTTGGAATAAAATCCCATCGAAACCATTATGGGGTGTGGGGAAAAGAAGAAGGGGGAGTGGGAGGTAGGCATGCTAGTGAAGTTTTATATTTTGGGTTTTTACTTACGAAATCATAACAGCTAGATAAAGATTAAAATTACAAATCCAATGGTACCTGATTTAAGCCTGTAAGTCGATTCTAAGCGGAGATATTAAAATTTTAGTGGCGGACACCACAACAGAAAATTTGTAGTGGAAATAAAAAAAAAACATGGCTTCCCGGCTGCGACCCAGTGAGATGAAATGACTCAATGTTTGATTTTACTGCCATAACTTTTTTTTTTCTGAACGAATCCCTTAGCAACCACATATTGCTGGAAGCGGGACAGTTAGACCTAACTGTATATGCATGTTTTAAAAACATATAATACATTATGCACCTAATTAACATATGAAAATGGCCGCCAGCTCACTATTTTCAAGCAAAACATTATACCTGTAAGTTTATCCGCCAGCGAGCCTGGCGACATGCATATCAAATTGTGCGCCCGACAAGGTGAACACAAATATCATAAAAATATACCAAGGTCAGACGACGTGACCTAATTAACATATGAAAATGGCCATCAATTGACTTTCTTTCAGCAAAAACCGTATACATTTGTCTGCCAATGAGTTTTGTACTGGATCCAACAGGGGCATAATAATATACAAAGACCATTAAAAAAAAAAACATGCAGAAGGGAGCTAGAAAGTGAAGTTAAAAAGATAGGGAAGACACTAAGGGCAAATGTAATAGCAATGACTATAATGACAGCGTGAGTTGATTGAGGACTAATGCCCCATTAGGGCATAGCAGGCAGAAGAAAAAAGGCACAGTTTGGCAATATGTTTTTGAACAAAATTGACATAGAAAGCGTATGAATGTGAAAGTCTTTACAACACGAAGCACCTAAAAGTATCAACTAGTAATGATGCCACAGTGAGAAATGAATGATAACGTGCATACATGAGGGATAACAATAAATAGCACTAATGTTCTTACATTTGAAAAAAAAAAGGGGATTGAGATAGATACAAATGAAATGTAGACAGACAGACAGAGACAGCATGGATGATTCATACACCGTGGGATTTTGATGTGATTACACACTCACCACAGCTTCACACATGCTGCCGCTATATCTATACAGCCACTATGGAAACATCCATCTGGCAGGTGGAATAGTTAAACAAGGATCATTGTTATACAGTGTTGTTTTCATATACATATCACTGCTTCTCTCTTGTTGTGTAGGCGTAAATAAGTCAAAAGCCTAGGCATACACTACTAACAGAGACAGCATGGATGATTGATAAACCGTGGGATTTCATGTGATTATACATTCGCCACAGCTTCTCCGGAAAACAACTGCTATTGTGTAATAAAAAAATAAAAATAAATTATTGTAGTATCCATGTTTGCCCAGCATCCAAGAGCAAAACATTTACACTGGTATGCATCAAGACCAGTCGACACACAGAGGACTGTATTTAGTGAATAGAAAATCACATATAGACAGCTTAAAATTATATGGGATCTGAGCAAATTGAATGCATGAGACAGCAGAGCCAGGGAATACCACAGGAGAGGACATACAGTGGGGATAGCAACAAGTCGAAAGACAGAGACAGGAAAAAAAATGAAAAGAGGCAGTGATCCAGAGAATAACAGTCAGGAAAAAGTCTCTAACTAAAAATGAATATAAAATGATTAAAACAACGTTAGCTAATTTAATAACTATTTTAAGTTATTTATAAAGCGGAAAAAACGGTCTTCTAGTGCAAACATATTGGATTTAAAGCGAAACTTTGTGTTTTCCCTTTTTCACATTTTCATTTCTAAACATTGTGTGTTGACCCCAGAGAAATACCTTGGTGACCCTATAAGGAGCTGCTACTTACTGGCTGGGAACCTGTGCTTTATATATTATTTATATCATCATCATCGTCGTTGTCGTCGTGATTATCATCATCATCATCATTATCATCGTCATCAACATTATCATCTCCATCATCATCATCTTCATTATCATCATCATCGCCATCATCATCATTAACATCAACATCGTCGTCGCCATCATCATCGTCATCATCATCTTCATCATCATCATTGCTTCAATACAATCTCGAAAGAGTAGAAACTAAAGAGCTATAACCAGTCATCATCATCATAAATCAATCATCATTATCATAATCCTCATAATCATCATAATCTTCATTATCCTCACCATCAAATGTCTTGACGTATGATCTATGTCAGCAAAAGTGAACTTGTAAATTGTGAGTTTATTACAACTATCAGTTTACAAAAATACAATCGCTTACACAGACGTCTTTGTTGTTTCTCTGTTTCAGAATGGGCCTACACGGGAATACATGGTACGACCTCTTTCTATGGATTATTGAAGTGTTATCTATGTGGATTACCTACAGATGAAATCCTTTCTGGGAGCGCGCGCGCACACACACACACTCAGACACACACGCAGGCACACCCTGTTCTCAAATGTCCCTGAGTTTTGTAAGTCATGCACATTTGCAAAAATTAATTTTTGAATAAAAATGTTAAGTCGACCATTAGACATCAGCAGTTAATCTTTGTGGTGGATTACACTTATCTAGATGACGTCGACAGAAATTAAAACTAAAGCTAAACTTCAAATGTTAAATTCTAATTCTAATGTCAAATCAGTACTTTTGTAGGCAGCGGAAACATGAAGAACAACTAAGTCAATTACTAACAAACTACAAAAATTCATTAGCTGTTGACTGTAGAATCGAGGGATTAAATGTTATGATAGAGTCACTAATGTAGAGCTTTGGGAGAGAACTAAACAAGCTCCAGTGGACCAAGAGGTGAAGCAAAGACGCTGGGGTTGGATAGGACAGATGTTAAGAAAACCGGAGAAAATAAAACTAGACAGTCTTTGCACTGAAACCCACACGGGCATAGAAATAAAGACAGACCAAAAAACACAACTGGAACATAGCTAGAGAGTGAAGTTAAACAGATGGGGAGGGCATGGGGTGAGCTAAATGCAATAGCCAAGGATAACTCGAATTGGAGTGAGTTTGTTGGCAGCCTATGCTCCAGTGGGGGAGAAGAAGAAAAAGCAGTTGTCGAGACTAGCCTCTACTACGATAAAAAGATTCGTGCAAGCGGGACATGAATGATACTGGTGCTGAGGTAGATTCATGGGAACAAAATGCCATAGACCATGTTGGGGGGAGGGAGAAAATCAGGAAAACAAAAGGGGTGCAGGGAAAGAGGGAGGGGGGGAGGGGTGAAAATTAGGGAAAACATGATTGCAGAAAGGATGAGAGGTGAGCCTTGTCTTGTCTTGTCTTGTCCACAATTGCCTCACAGCGTAGTGGGGAGTCGCAGTTTTCTATCCTGGGCCAGGTGTGTTGCATGTGTTGTTGTTAGAGAGGTGAGCGTCTGAGAAGAAGTACACTAAATATATATGATGACAACAACTGTTCTGAAATCGCATGCTCAAATTGTTGAAGACTTTTCTCAAGGGGTCACTACCATGGCATTTTTTCCAATTTATGACAAAGATATCACTTTTTTTAATGTGTTCATTTTTGTAAAGTTCGGCATTCGTAGAATAGATTACACACAAAATTTAAGTCACTTGTAAACAATTTAGCATTGAAAAGGTAATACTGAAAGACACCAACCCATGCACTTTTTGAAAGATAAAAATAAAGTTTTAAAGTCAGTTTTCTCACATCTCTATATTTCTGTTTGTTGTGTGTGTGAAATCCTAAAATCTTGAGTCATATATGGACTAGAAACCCGGATACTGAAACAAGGTTAGAGAAGGACTAGGAGGAGGAGGAGAAGTAGGAGAAGGAGAAAAAGAAGAAGAATAAGAATAATAATAAGAAGAATTAGAATTGGAAGAAGAAGAAGAAGAAGAAGAAGAAGAAGAAGAAGAAGAAGAAGAAAGACGAAAACGAAGAAGAAGAATACATCTTGCTCTCTTTCTTGTGACCTTTCCCTCCAGTATAGGTTTAAAAAAAGCGCCTTATGTCTTTTTATTGTGGCCAAAGTATTTCAACTGTCTCTTGCTTATTCCTTTTAGTATTTCTTTTTTCATTGTAGCCTTTCTAGAACCTCTATACTGGAGTGTTTTTGTTTCCATGAAATATGATTATTCTTTTTTATACCCACAAATAGGTCAAAGCCCACTACTTATGTTCAAATTTTCATAAACTGTATCTTTTCAAGAGGTAGATTTGTACGTTTATTATCTCCAGGGGCGTCGCACTGGGCAGCAGCGTTCCCCACCTGTGGGAAAGATCAGCAGTCGCCTATTGATATCTTGGAAGGGGACATCAGATTCGACAAGGAGCTGCCACCAATCAAGTACTCGAACTACAACACCAGTGCTGGTCTGGCCATGACGCTCAGGAACTAACGGCCACTCTGGTTGGTAGAATAGAAAGTTAAGGATCAGCTTCCACGTTTTCAGGCGTATTGGGCATATAGGACTAGATAAACCTTTGTTTTATAGAGTTATCGGTACTTGGTGGGTGATTTGGTCAACATCACGGCGTCCTCCTTTACTTCCCATGACTGACCTGGTACTCATTCAAGGCTGGGTTGACCTGTGAGACAACATCATTTTTAACAAAAGCCCGGTTCCTTCAGGACGCGAACCCACGACCTTGCGATCAATAAGCGAGCGTCTAGCCACTACACCACGGCGACTCCCACTCTGGTAGGTCTCATGTCTAATCTGTTAAGGGTCTTTGAAGACCGTCTTCTATTTTATTTTAGGCTATTGTGTGTTTTAGCTGTTGCGAACTCTGTTCGTAATGCACGGTGCCGGGTTCAATCCCAGCTGCGTTATATTTGGTAGCAGACTCACTTGCTCTGGTTTCGAAAATGTTTGTGACAGACCACCTCACGATGAGCAGTGGCGAACTACTGTGCGTGTTATTGCCTAGTACAATCACCAACAGTTCTCCAACACCACCCCTCCCCCCCCCCCCCCGACCATTTTCAACAAAAATATTCTGGGGTGAAGGCTCAAGGACAGTTCAACACAAACATCAAAAATAGTCATAAAGATTGGGGCATTGGGGGGGGGGGGGGGGGGAGGGGTGGGGAGGGGTGGTTTTGAAATGGAGCATAGGAACTGAGACAACACACGCTAACTCGTTTTATCCTTCGATATCTCATGCAGCTTTCCCCATGTCTTCCCCATCTTTTTAACTTACCTCTCTATCTCCCTTCTCCATGTGCAATTTTATCTTCCTTTATTTCTATGCCTCTGTGAGTTCCAATGCAAAGACATTCTAGTTTTTTCGTTCTCAGGTTTTCTCAGCGTGTGTCCTATCCGCGGACAGTGTGACCAAAGGAAACATTGTAGACAGACAGACAGACAGACAGACAGACAGCCAGCCAGACAGAGGAAGAAGACAGTGTGAGACGATTCTTTTCCACCTTTAGTCATGCACTGAAATAAAGGCGAGAGGGGGGGGGGGAGGATGGATGGTGATAGGAGAGAAGGAGGGGATGTCGATATGCAAACTGGTATAGGCCGTCGGAGGTCGGTCCCTTGTTGTGTAGATGCGTAATCTCCAACACCAGTGGTCACGGCACTTGGTGACGATGAGGATGATGATGCTGTTGTTATTGCTGTTATTATTGTAAAAGCTGTTGTTGTTGATGTCATTGCTGCTTTTGTTGTTGTTTCTATTGTTGTTGTTGTTGCTGTTCTTTTGTAAACCCAGGAGATGCTAGTTGTTGGAGAAGAAGTAACGGTGACGTTTTGTGCTTAGTTAGTGGGTATCCTTTACATAATGTATCAGAACCAACCTCAGCATTGTGTTTTGTGTGTTGTGGGTTTTCTAGGCAAATTCTACTTTTAGTAGTTTGCCATTGCTTTCTAAAAGACCAGCACTCGATACCACCGTCGAAACCAAAGCCATTCCGCTGCCAACTCGCCTACAGCTGGGATCGAACCCGGCACCCCGGCATTACTAAGCACGATCGCAACACCTAAACCAATGACGCTGGCGCCAAGCTTCTCAGTAGTAGACTGGATGAGTCAGGTGCATTCATAAACTCTTCTGAAGTCAAACATAAGACTTCCAGAGTGCTTGACAATTATTTAACTACTGGGCCATGTCGTTTCTACTCCCCAGCTCTAGTGTTACTAAGTGGGTCGACCCCGGTCACAGTTTCTGCAGGGGGACTGCCTGCCGGGGTCTTCAGGGCTTTCCAGATCCACCTTCACTGGGGGATCACCGAGAATTTGGGATCAGAGCATCTCCTCAACGGATTGGCGTATCCTATGGAGGTAAAGGCAGACAGATAAACAACCAGGCGCGCGCACACACACACACATACACATACACATATAAAGACAGACATACGAACGGATAGAGAGACTGACAGATAGACAGACAGGCACATAGACTAAGGGATGGACAAACACATAGAAAGAATACAAACAAAAAGTATACACACATAACACAATGATATAACTGGTGTGTGGTGTTGGTCTTATTTGATCTCAGTCCTCTCGCTCGTGTGCATGGTCATTTCGTTTCTGGTGCTGATGTGACGATCCGCAATGACGCTTAATTAACTGTTGAACATCTTCTCGTGTTGTCTCCCCATCCTCTTTTCTACTCAATCTGTCTTGATATCAGGGCGCTGCTCAGAAAATCGGGAAGGAAGGGGGGGGGGGGGGGGTGTCGACCTGTACTAACGAGAGTACAAGCTATGCGATCCTAAATTTGTTAAAGACACACTGCCCACCAAGCTGCCATGTTGTGCCTACATCGAGGGGGGGGGGGGGGGGGGCCTACACCATTCCATTTAGCTGCCTGTCACACCGGGCTGCCCACACACCCAAGAGTGAACCCCCCCCAAGGCTATCTACTACACCGTCACTAAAGCTGCTTACACCGACCCAAGAGCCTAGCCCCACAAGCTGCCTACACCGCCCACCCAAGCTGCCTAACGCCCCCCAAGCTACACCGCCCCATCCAAGCTGCCTACACCGGCTTACACCGCCCCACCCAAGCTGCCTACACCGCCCCACCCAAGCTGCCTACACCGCCCCACCCAAGCTGCCTACACCGCCCCACCCAAGCTGCCTACACCCACCCAAGCGCCTACACACCACCCAAGCTGCCTACACCACCCCACCCAAGCTGCCTACACCGCCCCACCCAAGCTGCCTACACCGCCCCACCCAAGCTGCCTACACCGCCCCACCCAAGCTGCCTACACCGCCCCACCCAAGCCCTACACCCAAGCTGCCTACACCGCCCCACCCAAGCTGCCTACACCGCCCCATCCAAGCTGCCTACACCGCCCCACCCAAGCTGCCTACACCGCCCCACCCAAGCTGCCCGCCCCACCCAAGCTGCCTACCACCCAAAGCTGCCTACACCGCCCCACCCAAGCTGCCTACACCGCCCCACCCAAGCTGCCTACACTGCCCCATCCAAGCTGCCTACACTGCAAACAAGGGTTATGTTAGTTTAGAAAACAACTTTCCGTGCAGGCTAAATTATCAAACATTTCTTTGGCGGAGGTAAGTTTAGAACAAACTCAGTCCAAGACGCAGGTTCGAATCCACGGTGTAGATTTTTTTTTTTCTTTCAAAAAAAAAAAAAAAAACACACAACAAAATCATAACCTGTCCGTGGCGACAACTCTAGCCATGCGGCCTGAAATCCTTTAGCTCGTAAGCCCTCTCACTCTTTCCATCCCACACAACGCAAAAGACGCAAATACAAACAGTGACAAGCAGTCTGGCAGACCACTTTCTGCACTTTTTTTGGGTTAGTTTGACGTTAGTCTCTCCAAATAGAGTAGGTCACTTTTCATTCACAAGTTTGTTATGCTGGTCGACTTTCCTGAAAGTTAAGGGTGTGTTTCACTCTGATGTTTGATTTCTGAGATGTCTTGCATTTACGTTTGCAATCCGAGAAAGAGAATGCATGTGGCATAGGTTGTAAGACATTCTAGGAGTTGTGTTAGATCCAGTTTCGCCATGTGTTTGGAGTGTTAAAAGCGCTGGTGTGCTGAAATATACAACACGTGATATCAACGGCATCGCGGATCAGCCCGGCAACCGTGGGCTCAGGAACGATTAATCAGAAGTGAGCTAGTGTGTATATGGGCGGGGTCTGGAAGAATAAAGTCAAACTAACTAACTATTGGCATTTACTTGGACGAGATAAGTTAGGAATAAACTCAGCCTATTTTGCAGCGTCTGTCTGAGATTCGAATTCGCATCTGTTTCAGCTACATATTGTCCACTATAACACCAAGTACGCTAGCCCAGGCGTCGCCCTCCAGAACCCGGACGGCTTGGCTGTTCTTGGATTCTTCTACGAGGTAGGTGGTCGACATCTACACTGCAATGGCTACCCGGCGTTTGTAGCCGTGTGTCGTAAAAATCGTTTTAATTCTCTCTCTCACCTGTCCGTCTGTCCGTCCCTCCCCCGCCCCTTAAAGAATAAAGCTGGTAAATGTTACTGAGTTCTCCCCATCTGAGTTAGCTCTGCCTACATACACACTCGGTCACTTTTCATAGGTGATTGCTCAGGTTCGTAAACTTTGCTAAAGGTTACGAGGGTGTCCCCAGTGTACTGTTTGCTCGACAGCTTCCTGCCCGGTCTTTCATTTACGTTTTCATTCCGAGAAAGAGACTTCGTGGGATGTGGGTTGCAGCACTCTTATAGGGATTTTGTGTTAGAGTCAGTCCTGCATGCTTTTGGAGCGTTAAAATCGCTGACATGCTGGAATACGCAACACCGTTGATATCGCGTGTTGTATATTTTAACACGTCATCGCTTTTAACGCTCCAACAACATGCAGGACTGGCGCAAACGCCCATACGAGAGTGCTGCAAACAGTACAAAGGGACACCCTGCTTAACCTTCAGCAAAGTTGACGAGCCTGATAAATTATGAATGAAAAGTGATCTAGTGTGGAAATGGGCGGGGTTAAAACACCCAGGGGGGGGGGGGGAGGAACTCCGTAATATTTACCATAAAGTTCGCTGATTCTCATTCTGTCTCCCCATCTGTCTTCTCGTCTGCCCCTCACTCTCTCTGTATATCGTTGTCTCACACTATTCATATTCTGTATTTTGCCACATGAGCATAACATAAAAAATGCAGCTGATGTGTGATAAATGAGTATTGTTAAAGTTTCGTTCGTTCGTTCGCCCAGTCTTTGCCTGTCTCTATCTGCTTCTTTCTCCCTCTCATATATATATACTTGTATGTGTGATTATTTTTACGTACATACACACATACACATATACACACACACACACACACATACACACACAAATACACACACTTACACGCACATAAACACACACATACATACACACACATACACACATACACACACACACACATACACACACGCACACACACACAAATACACACACATACACACACATATACACACATATACACACGCACACATACACACACATACACACGCACACATATACACACACACATATACACCCATATGTGCCGGATTTGATCCCAGCTACAGGCGATTTGACAGCAGACAGTCGTGGGTTGGTTTTGACGTATCATCGAGAGCCGACTGTTGAGTGCAATAGCTAAATACTGAAAGTAAATGGCCTAGTAACACAAATATAGCCAAAAGACTGCTGAGGTTGATTGTGCAAATGTTTGTAAACGATACGAACCTGACGTCTGAACCAACAATAAGACAGACCTTGACTAACTACATGATATGAATATCGAGGAGAATCGGCGAATGAACAGCATCCTGTCCCGAAAGCATAGGTATTGTGTCCATCACATTAACGTTACGGTGCCGGGGAAAACTGTGATGGAGGTTAGAGTTTTCTGAAAACCAGACAGAAGACAAACAAGGCATGGAAGATACATTGGCTATGAAAGCACATAGGGCTGGAAAATTGCCTAGAGACTTTCAGGCGGGATGAGAGCGACTTTTTGTAAAGAACCTGTTGAATGATGATGTGTGTGTGCAGGACCGGGCTCAGACTTGGTGCGGTTCTAATGTGGCACAGTCGTGCCTTCACACAAAGAAATAGATGTGCCTAGTTCGGCCAAGGTGAATGGATACAGTTCGTACTCAAGAACAAGGCCAGTGATGTAACAATTACACAGCGGTTTATTTATTAATAAACTTATCAAGTCAAACAGAATGAATAATTCAATAACAATTTTATAAGAACACTTCATTATCTTATCACTGGCTATTCTTATGTCTCTCTATGAGTTCCTTAATCACTCTCTTAGCTAAACTCCAAGTTCAATATATATATAACTTCTAAACGAAGTACAGCTCTAGTTTTCATGACTGGTCTTTCAAGCGGTCCAGTCCTAACTCTTCTCTCAAGCGGTCCCGTTCTAACTGTTCTCTCAAGCGGTCCCGTCCTAACTGATCTTCTGCTCCCCCTTCAGCCGCTGGCTCCTCACTTCTCCTCGCTTTCCCGCTCTTTCTGGCGTGCCTTCTCAATCACTCCCCTGTCACCTGTCTTTGGTGGTCACGTTTGGATGAACGTATCTCTTCAGCTGGTCACAGTGCATCTGGTTGCTCACGGGTACTCGTCGAATGTTCCATCCTTCACTGTCTGATGTCATGGTTTTACCATGATAACCGCCCTCCAATCAACTCTGGTCACCGTGCAGATGTTCTGTATAGCTGGCCAGGCCAGCTTTCTAATCACTGTTTTCTGTCATGCCAACGAGTGAGGGATAGGCGTGCTTTTATGCTGTTCTGAAATGTATGATTTAATCGTTTAACCCCTTTCTGCTTATATTTCATTACATTCACCCCCTACTTTTTTTTTAAAATGCTTCTTATCTGCATTTTATTCTCTACAACTACTCTAATTATACCCGCTACCTAACTAGACCTTATATGAACATCTAGCCCCGTAATGAGAGCATACATCATAACATGTAACATAATACAATTCATACAGTATAAGGAAAACGTGACATTCATACAATAACTAATAGCCAATAATTCGAAAGACATAACATAAACGATACAACTCCCTCGTTGTATTAGCATAACAACATCTGATTCCACTGGTTACCCTAGTGAATGTGCGGAGTAGTCTGAAGTATAAAGGAATAGTATTTGTATTCTCACTTTATAAAGTCAAACCTGATCATTTTTCATGTAAGGCGATGTCTCCATGATCACATTGACAACGGTTACTGATCATCTATACGATAACTATTGAGATAAAATAAAATGATAAACATTGTAATATATTGAAAATAGTTCATATATATATATATATATATATATATATATATATATATATATATATATATATATATATATATATATATGTATACATACAACAAGAAATGACATGCCATGTGTCCCCAGTAATCAATAACGTAAAACTCGACAATGTCATCTCCCCAAGAAAGAAAGAAAATAGAATCTCTGAGAAAGTCAACATAGACTGAATAATGAAGAAAAACTTTACAGAGTATAAAGAATTCTTATACTGTTAGGTATATAACTGGAGAGAAATTTCTCGGAAACAACCGTAGCATTTCTTCAAGTCGAATGTACAATGCCACCTCCTGTATTTACAGGTATTTATCTACTGTGATAGTCCACAGCGTTTATTGTTGCTTCCTTAAGAGGTTACTTCCTCTGTTTAATGCATATCACATCTTCTGTAAAGAAATAGACGGCATGACTCGTTGGCATGACAGAAAACAGTGAGGGATAGGCGTGCTTTTATGCTGTTCTGAAATGTATGCTTTATTCGTTTAACCCCTTTCTGCCTATATTTCATTACACTAGCGATGCAAAGCCCTGAGGCCCGTATAGTTTTTAATTACACCAGATACCTCATCAAGCTAGAATAGTACATAATAAAATAATACTCAGATTATATACCCGAAATAATCATAACACCAATAATACGGTGAAAATGTTGGGAATAATGAAAACAAAAAAAGGTGTTGCGGGATATGCGGTTGGGAGGGGCGATGGTAAAAATATATGCAAAGAAAATTGCATAAAAAATACTGTATGCGTATTATGCATATATATATATATATATATATATATATATATATATAATATATATATATATATATATATATATATATAAATATATATATATATATATATATGTACATACATACATACATACACAAAAATAGACACACTCTTATACACACACATACATACATACTCACACACAGATGCATATATACACCCGTATATACATGTATATACATATATATATATATATATATATACACACATACCTGAAATACGGGTGTAAGTATATATATATATATATATATATATATATATATATATATATATATATATATACACACACACACGGGTGAATGTATGTGTGTGTATGCATGCATATATGTATGTTTTTGTATGTATGTGTGTATCTGTAAGTATGTATGTGTGTGTATGTATAAGTGTGTGTCTATTTTTGTGTAGGTATTTGTGTATATGTATGTGCATGTATGTATCTATGTTTCTATGTGTATATGTTAGTGAGTAAATTGTGTGTGTGTCTGTATGTGTGGGGTTCTGTGTGCGTATTTTGTGAGTATATGTGTGTGTATATATGTGTGTCTATGTGAGTGCGTCTATGTATGCGTATGTATGTGTGTGTGTATGTGCATGTATGTATATCTGTGTGTGTGTCTATGTGTGTATATATTTGTGTGTATGTGTGTGTGCCTATGTGCGTATTATGTTTGTATTGTGTGCATGTATGTGTGTATGTATGCGTGTGTGTGTAAGTATGCGTGTGTAAATCTATGTGTGTGTCTGTGTGCGTGGGCACAATGTTGTGTCTGCCCTGGCGTGTCATGACCGATTGAAGTCTGTCTTCTTTACACAGGTGGCGAAGGAGGACAACCCCTCGTATGCTTCCATCGTTGGGAAACTACCAGCCATTCTGTATTCAGGTATGTGTGTGTGTGTGTGTGTGTGTGTGTGTGTATGTGTGTGTGTGTGTCTATGAGTGTCCGTTTGTGTCTGTCCGTCTGTGTATGCATTGCTACGTATTGTGAATAGACTCAGTTTCTTTTTTTTTTAAACTAACATAATCTCTCTCCACCTCCCATCCATCTACCTCCCTGAAAAAAAAAAAAAAAACGATCACTGTCTGTGATGTTTGTGAGAAATCGTCTTCGAGCCTTCGCCTCTTTTAAAACATCGTGGCTGCTCTTTGTGTCTGCCGGAGGGATTTTAAGGATTCTTCCTTTGTCACTACAATTTTTGAAGCTTCGAAACAGTTAATATAGATAGTAGAGAATCCTAAACGTATGAAGGACTTTGTCAATCAACAAGGAGCTTTGTCTTCTGCCTTCTTGTTCTTTTCTGTAGTAATTTTTTGCTTTTCAGATTCAGACTTCGAAGAGGCACATGAGGTAAATCTGTGTGTGTGTGTGTGTGTGTGTGTGTGTGTGTGTGTGCGTGCGTGCGTGCATGTGTCTATGTCTGTGTGTCTATGTGTGCGCGCGCTATATAGATGCTGGTATAAAGGTCCACTGATGTTCCTTCTATCTATCGCGTGATAGGCCCACTTCCTGAATGTCCCAGTAACGGCACTATGCGGTGTACTATCTTGTGCTAGTCTAGTCATTTGGCCATACCATTTGATCTGCTGCCTCTTGATGTAGTTTGGTACTTGCTCCATCCCTTCTTTCCTGGTGTCATCATGTCTAATCCTGTCTCTTCTAGCTACATCTAAGATTAGTCGCAGAGATGTCATCATTTCTAATCCTGTCTCTTCTAGCTACATCTAAGATTAGTCGCAGTGGTGTCATCATTTCTAATCCTGTCTCTTCTAGCTACATCTAAGATTAGTCGCAGTGGTGTCATCATTTCTAATCCTGTCTCTTCTAGCTACATCTAAGATTAGTCGCAGTGGTGTCATCATTTCTAATCCTGTCTCTTCTAGCTACATCTAAGATTAGTCGCAGTGGTGTCATCATTTCGAATCCTGTCTCTTCTAGCTACATCTAAGATTAGTCGCAGTGGTGTCATCATTTCTAATCCTGTCTCTTCTAGCTACATCTAAGATTAGTCGCAGTGGTGTCATCATTTCTAATCCTGTCTGTTCTAGCTACATCTAAGATTAGTCGCAGTGGTGTCATCATTTCGAATCCTGTCTGTTCTAGCTACATCTAAGATTAGTCGCAGTGATGTCATCATTTCGAATCATGTCTGTTCTAGCTACATCTAAGATTATTCGCAGTGGTGTCATCATTTCTAATCCTGTCTGTTCTAGCTACATCTAAGATTAGTCGCAGTGGTGTCATCATTTCTAATCCTTTCTGTTCTAGCTACATCTAAGATTAGTCGCAGTGGTGTCATCATTTCGAATCCTGTCTGTTCTAGCTACATCTAAGATTAGTCGCAGTGATGTCATCATTTCGAATCCTGTCTGTTCTAGCTACATCTAAGATTAGTCGCAGTGGTGTCATCATTTCGAATCCTGTCTGTTCTAGCTACATCTAAGATTAGTCGCAGTGATGTCATCATTTCGAATCCTGTCTGTTCTAGCTACATCTAAGATTAGTAGCAGAGATTTTATTTTTGTTGTTTCCGTGTCTTCTATTTTCTGTTGTTAATGTCCACCTTTAGTACTGGTTATACAGGATTGTCCAGAAAGCAATGGCAAACTTCTGGACGTAAATTTGCCTAGAAAAACCACATATCAGCCAGGGGTTGTTGGGGTTGGTTCTGAAACGTCCTGTAAAGGATACGCAACCAACCTAATACAGGATTGGTGAAAAAAGCTTGATTATATGTGGACGCGAACTCTGTAATAACGTACCTGGCGAGAGGCAGCGACACATGCCAGGAAATAAATTGTACAGTATTTTTTTGAGTCCTCGTTTTTCTCTTCTTGTGTCCTACTTTTTCTGCCTCAGTGTCACAAAGAGAAATTACATGTAGCTGTCGTCTTTTCCTATCTCTCTGGCTTGTGTTACTATCATATTGCGTCTCTGTAGTGTTTCTTTTACTCCTTTCATCCACCTCTTATTTAATAGGCCTCTTGACTTTTGGTCTGTGGTTCTCATGGAGTAAGCTCTAGCTTGCTAGTTTGTTCCATTCTGGCCAGATGACCGAGGCAAAGACATTCTAGTTGTATTGTTCTCAGGTTCTCTCAACGTGTGTCCTATCCGCCGCCAGTGTGACCACAAAAAGAATTATGGACAGAGAGACAGAGGAAGGCAGCGGGAGAAGATTGTTTTCCACCTTTACTCATGGCCTAATAAAAAATGTGGCTGGGAAGGTTGATGGTGATAGGGGAGGAGGAGGGAGAGTCGATAGGCAAACTGGTACATGCTGTCGGAGGTCGGTCCCGTGTTGTGTAGATGCGTGATCTCTTACACCAGTGGTCACGGCACTTGGTGATGATAGCGATGATGATGCTATTTTGCGAAATCATTTGAACGTACTGTGCCCGCTATTGTTGTTACTACTTCTTCATTAGTGACTCTATCTCTTGTTTTTGTCTCCTCATTTCTTAAACATCTCATCTCACATGTTGTAATGTTGCGTTTATGTTCTTCTAATACCGTCCATATCTGATATTGACAGCACAACTGTTGTACGAGAAGGGCATTTATCTATGCACTACTGGCACCATTAAATCCTCAATATATACATTTACATCTTCCCCATCCTACAGGACTGAAGACCAACATCGGCTCCGTTCCACTGAACTCGTTGTTGCCCAGGTCATTCAAACGGTTCTTCAGATACCCCGGAAGTCTAACAACTCCACCATGTCATGAATCGGTGACCTGGACGGTTTTCAAGGACACCATTCCCATCTCCCAGATTCAGGTATGCTTCTCTTCCTTACATACAATTACGGCGTCTCTTTCTGGTGGTACACAATTGTACGCAGTACCGACACCTCATTTTTTCTTCTTGAAAGCATTATTTTTTAGGGCTACTGTAAAAGACAGGCTGGTCTGCGGATTCGAGGGCTGTGGCATCAGGTTCTGATGGAGTCAGACTTTCTTGTCCAGGTCGACCCGGCCGTGATTGGGTACCTGGTACAGTCTTGGGAAGTAAGCGAGGCCTGTGTGATGTTGACCGCATCACCCAGATAGTGACGATTTTGATCTATAAAAAAATTGGTCTAGCCCTAAATATCAAATACGTCTTGAGGTGTGGAAAAGTGTACTGTGCTGTAAAATATCCTTTTAGTGAGTAAGGTACCGTTTAGAACACTTTGTAGTGAGTTATGTAACTCTTTCAGGACGAAGTCACGCACTAGTCATTGCCTGTCACTTCTTTACAACCAGTTTTTGATACAATAATAAAGAGTCGCCACGTTTAAACAGCATCCCCTAAAGGGGAGTTTTAGGTTATAATTGTGACTAGGTTATTTGCGTCAGATAAAATGGTTTTGCGTTGTTCGCTACCAAACGCTCTAAAAATGACTCCTGCAACGTTGGTGCGATCAAAGGAGACAGACCTAAATACTGTCCCGACCAGCGACAATGTCTTCTACCGGCGAGCCAATGAATGATTGATTCTTACGCTGTATAGATCTGTTTACTCCTAGTCTAGGTGGAACCTTAACCGATTACATCGCAACGTTTAATTGTCATGGATTCTGTTTCATAACAAAGTGACTACATTTGTGTTTGTCCATAGCTGGAGGCCTTTAGAATCTTGCTGGACCCACACGCGAGACCCATGTCCAACAACTTCAGACCGGTCCAGCCACTGAACCATCGACACGTCAGCGCCAACTTTGACCCAGGTCAGTCAGGCATGAATATAAGTAAAGATCACTTTACACACCACCAGCGGTGTATCGTGCATGACGGAATAGACTCACATTTTGTTCTAGACCAATTCTGTAAGGCGCCTAGCTCGACCTTACCTGCAATTATTTAGGCTTTCTTTTTAAGCGGCTCATAGGACAGAGGTAATAGCTCTTCAAGTCTGGCGGTTCCTTGTCATCTGTTTTAGGTCTTGGATGTTTATTAGGCCCAATGTTGAACTTCCCTGATGATGCTTCTTCGCAGGGTCTCTATTGGTCTTTCCCGTTTTTTTCCCTTCCGGTGTCCACATGGGAGCTTGATTGGGGAGTCTTGTCTTATCTATTCTTTGTCGATGTTGTTCCAGTGGCGTTTTCTCATAGGAGTGGACACATCATCTTGCTTGTTCTCATGTCTCATTTCCGTAAAACAGATACCAGGTAAAGTCCTGGGAAATAAATATCACCCAGTAAATGTTGATTGCTTTGTAAAACGTAACTTCTAGCACTGTAAACCCAGTAATGCCAATGGTCGTGTCAAAGGTTACTTAGAGATCTGAGAAATCCACAGGTAATGTGGTATATATACATGGGACCCCCTTTACTTCCAGAAACATTTCTGTGTATCTGCTGTTACAGATTGTTTTATTTATTTACTATGTATCTGTAATATACCTTTCTCTTTCTCATTATTCTCCTCCTGGATATGAACGCAGGCTTGATAAATTTGGGCTAGGAGAGGAGTGGGTCAAAGTGTCCGAGCAAGAATCCGACTTGTATAGGGTTCTTATCACTTCAGGTCGTGAGTGTTGGGACTGGCCAGCTGGTGCTGCAGAAGAATCAGAAGTTCAACAAATGATTCATGATAATTCCTGCCAGTGATGTGATCTAAACAGATGGCTCTGTGTTGAGAGGCAGGCGAAATGCATAGGGGTTCATAGCAAAACCCTGGTGTAGCAAAGCCTTGCTTATGATATCACAACGTCTAGTTTGAGAATGAAGGTGGGGGCAATCACTGCTACCTTCTGTGGCTCGAAAATCATTTGTACACACATGCTGGTAATTATAGCTGACTCAAGCAGCATAAAGAGAAAGGAGAAGACAGACGTGCTCCGTGCAGAGTGGCAAGCATCGCTTCAGAGATCTCGGGTAGTTAGCCTCCTCTGGATATTTTCTCCAGGTGACGCCGGTGTGTTAGGAAATGAGCAGGCAGATAGTTAAGCCGGTTCTGCACCACTTGATGGTGAACTGATGTATGACAAGCTAGACATTTTGAGGGCATTTGCGAGCGAGTGAACAGTGCGGAAGCACGGATAGATCATAACGGTCTGAGAAGTATGGTGCTGCGAGGAGTAACTAGGGGATCACGTTGACGCTCAACACTAGATGGTAAGGTGAGACGGATATACAATCAGACAGTTACCCGGGTGGGTCCCGGGGCCCTATTATAGGGAAAACAAGAATAGACCCAGTGCCTACCCAAAAGCATGTCGTAAGAGTCGACTAATTGGGAGCTTTCTTCGAAGTCGGAGTGCATCTGCCTGAAAGGCAAGGAAACCAGCAGTCTGCATGCCAATGAGTCAGATCTGTAAAACACTCAGGTTCTGGAACAGGACTGCAGTCCAGAAGTGGACGAACAACCAGAACTTTCCGCCAGAGTTTACAGCTGGTGAAAGCGAAGAAGAAGAAGAAGAAGAAGAAGAAGAAGAAGAAGAAGAAGAAGAAGAAGAAGAAGAAGAAGAAGAAGAAGAAGAAGAAGAAGAAGAAGAAGAAGAAGAAGAAGAAGAAGAAGAAGAAGAAGAAGAAGAAGAAGAAGAAAGAAGAAGAAGAAGAAGAAGAAGAAGAAGAAGAAGAAGAAGAAGAAGAAGAAGAAGAAGACAGTTACCTGGTGCCATCGGAACTGGAACTCTTCGCTTGCTGCTGAAGATAGGAACGAAGCGCTTATGGGAGTGTTCCTAATTCCCTAATGTCGATACTAAATTTAGCTTTTAGTATTAGTATTATTCTTCTCCTTCTCTTCCTGTTCATTATCATCATCATCACCATGATTATCGTTATAATCATCATTAAAATACTTATCCAAATCATTAATACCATTCTTATTCTAGTCATTCCCGTCATTTTAATGATCATTACTCTCATCACTATCATTATCCTGATCATTATCACACTTCTTATAGTCTTATCAATATCATCCTTATCGTTATAATTATCATCTACATCACGACCACCATCGTCATTATGATAATCATCATTGTCATCGTTAACATTCTCGTCATCCTCATTATGATAAGTTTCCTGACCATTATTCTCATTCTATAATGATCATCCTTATCATAATGATCGCCATCCTCCTTCTCATCATCATCTTAATGACTCTTTAAGTGCTCCATTCTCACCGAAGAGATACTCAAACAGAGATCTAACAAGTTCCTATGTTTTCAGATATCCGCTGGAGCTACAGAGGTGCCACCGTCAGTAGTAAGTTCTCTCCTCTGCTTGACATTTTGTTGTCAGTGGTATTTAAACTCTGTGCGGGCCGATGAAGATGGGAACGGAGCACTTATTGGTTTCCCCCTAGTGCTGTGATGTTGTGTCTTAAAAGAAAAAAGGAAAAAGTTAATGAGTGTTGGCTGTGTCGTTGCATGTCCAGCCTCCCTATGAGTTCTCCGATCTACTTTTAAGGATGTATATCATCATCATCATCATCATCATCATCATCATCATCATCATCATCGCAACAATATACATGGGCGTCTGACTACCTTACTACCCAGAGACCAGGGGGGATTATTCGAAATTCAGGTGAACAAATCCCAGCCTTCATCGGGGCCTGAACCCGGCATCTCCAGCACTAGAGGCTGACGCCATGTCTCGCGACCACTCAGCTCCCCTTATACACAAATTATATTCATGTTGTATCAATGTCCGCTCAAGGGTACGATATACCTCGCTAAAAAATGACACGTTTTTAGACGCTTCAGCTGGTCATGGGTCTAAGTAAACTTCTTCTTGCAAGGGGCGCTGTCGTCATTTATAAGTGACAGGTTCGAATCCTAGTGTGGTTGCCATAACTCTTGATTTATATGTGGTCTAGTGTGCCCCCCCCCCCCCGCCTATACTTACTTCTGTGAGTGCCAATCAATGCATGTTAATGTGTTTAATATTTGTTTCTAAGTTTAAAAAAAAGGCAAAGGTCAAGTCGGGAGATGTGAACCAGCGTCATTGCACACGGTTATAAACCATACTTGCTCTGCCACCAGTACAGACAGCTGATAAGACAGCGACGTTCCTCCATTTACCCCAGAGTGTCACTCTGGTGCCCATTTCCTAGAGGCTGGGTGAACCCCGGGAGCCGCCCGGTTTCGAACACCGACAGTGGCTACTACGAGTCGCAGCTGGACTTAAAAGCCAGCCTCCTATCGACTGCGCTAACGCGGCCCCCTTTCAAGTTTAAACTAATGAATGCCCGGGCCCCTACACATATAACGATGACAGCTGTACCTAAGAGATCATGACAAAACTTGATCTGGCAACAGCCGCCATGTCTCAGCTGAATACGATTTGGAAAAGCAAAATCACCATAACAGTCAAGATCAATATTTACAAATCAATGGTATTGTCTATTTTCTTTAACGGATGTGAGAGCTGGACTCTCACTGAGGAAACTGAAATAAGGATTCAGGCTTTCGAATGTAAATGCTACAGACGAGTTTTACGAATTATGTATTCAAAGCATAAAACAAATATGTCAGAGACAAAATAAACAAATTTGCAGGTCATCAGGGAGCTCTCTTGGCAGTGGTGAAACGTCGCAAGCTAGCTTGGTTCGGGCACGCCGTGAGACACGATTCGATTGCAAAGAGTATACTTCATGGAACATTGGGGGTGGGAGGTGGTCACAGAAAAGGGGGCCAAAGAAGATCTGGAATGATAACATCAAGAAATGGACGGGCCTAAATTATTATGCAGTTATTGCTTGTTCAATAAACGGAAGACGAAAGAAGGCGGGCTTTTTATGCTATTGTTTCCATCAATACACCCCCCGTCACCCTAACGGGTCAAAGGTTATGTTATGTTATGTTAATCACACTGCTTGAATATTCACCAGCTGAACAATGGCCGCTCTACTACTCTGCCTGCAAGGGTGACAACCAATCACCGATCGCCATACCCACACGTGCAAGCCGCTTTGATCCCAAACTTCAAAAACTGGACTTTCACAACTATGACAGAGTCCCGAGCGGTCAGTATAAGTTGACCAACAACGGACACACGGGTAGGTATCTTTGATACTTGTCTTTGCTCTTTTTGAGTACTGGACACTTTCTGCTCAACTCATCTGTATTCACTTCAGGCGTGTATGGGCAAACCCTTGATTTCAAAGGAGAAGGAATACTTTGTTCAGAAACAGACCTCGGTCTATGTTGTTGGCACCTTTCAGTTTTCCCAGACGATCCTATTACATTGCACTATAGGAAGACATGGGCTGTGTAAGAGGAAATCACCTCAGTTTCTGTATCATTTATGGCCCGCTTGCACCCATCTTTATATAGAAGTTGAGACCTGTCCCGTATCTTCCATCCATCTGTAGAAAGTAGAAGCAGTGGTTCTCAAACTTTTTAATGCCGTGACTCTTTAATCCAGTTCCTCGTGTTGTAGCCACCCCCAATCGTACATTTTCTTCGTTACTATTTCACAACATCAGTGAATAAGTGTTCTTCCATGGTGTTAGGCGACACCTGTGAACAAGTTCGATCAGCAAAGGGATCGCCACCCACAGGTTGAGAACCACTGCTATAAAAGATGTGCAGTCTTTTCTCTCACCCCCTCTCACATCTAAAGCACCAAGACTGCGAAATCTTTTAGAACCCATGTGTTGTCCAGGCGCTTCCGTCTCTGAAAGCTTAGTTATTTCGTGTATTGAAAAAAAAAAAAAAGGTTTTCCACGTAGTTGTAAAATTGTCCTCATCGTTCTAAGCCGACGAAGACTGTCTAGCAGCAACGTTTATTGTGTGATCATTATTAACTTGGAAGTTCAACTTTGGGTCCCGTCTGATGCTTTCAGCCAGCCTGGACATCAGTTCTGCAGACGCCAGCATATCTGGAGGTGGTCTACCTGGGACCTACCTGGCTGCTCGCCTAGACTTCCACTGGGGATCACACGACAACACGGGATCTGAACATACTTTGGACAACAGAGCATATCCTATGGAGGTGAGTTGTTAGTGAACACTTTCGTCAAAAATTATCGTGTATGTTCATGTTCTTCCATGAACCTAAGGGGAATATCTATGATAGCCTCGCTTTGACAGTCTCAAAATCCCTTCCGGGTCAAAGTACCTGAGCGTTTCGACATGAGACATTACATTAGTTTGCTAGTTAGCTAATTAAAAGGTTATCCTCACTGCACACCAGACAAGTCCATGAGCACTAGGATCCCATCTTCAGTATCTCCCCCAGCGTGTGGTGACCGATAACGCCAGTTCTGTGTAGGTTTACTATTCTTCTTTGTCTACCTGTCTATTGTTCATGTTTGGCGACACCTCTTTTGACCTAAAGTTCTTGTAGTCTTTTGAGTGTTGCCGATTCAAAGTCTTCTCCGGAATCACCTTTTCGTCCTGCCTCCTTGAGACCACTGAGAATGTCTGCCCAGTCTACTGCTTTTCCTTTTCCTGCCAGCCAGCCAATCCTTAAGGGCTCCAACCATTTTCTTCAACGATTGTCTTTAAATCCATCCTGTCTCTATCTTTTTAAGCGCGTTCATGGAATCACTTAGAAAGCACGCATAGGAAAAATGCTGAGTCTCTAGCCAATAAGACATGACAGTGAAAACTTAGTTCACTGTCTGCTCGAGTTATGACTGTTTCCTTTTCGATGAAGAGGTCGTAAGTAGAACAGGTCGTAACTCGATTTTTATATTTGTCAATACTATTTTCATTCAAACGGGTTGTAAGAGATGTTGCCTGAACTGAAGTTGAAAAAGTAGCAAGACTATACGAAAATAGTGGATGTTACTACTCATGTGTCGTATGTATCATAAATATGAATAACTATGCAACTATGTACTTTTGGAAAATCCGTGTCTCTGTATCAGTTGTTGTCTCTCTTGTCAAAGCGAGTCAATAGTGGTTAGGGCGACTCTTCTGAACTTAAGAGGCTTAGTGACTTGTAGCTCCGTCTGGCAACGCTTACGCCAGGTTGTGGAAGAACAGTAGTTCCAGACGCGCCAGGTTGTTGGAGACCAGTGGTTCCAGCCAGTCTGACATCTGTGGCGCCAGGTTGTGGGAGACCAGTGGTTCCAGACGCAGCAGGTTGTGGGAGACCAGTGGTTCCAGACGCAGCAGGTTGTGGGAGACCAGTGGTTCCAGACAGTCTGACATCTGTGGCGCCAGATTGTGGGAGACCAGTGGTTCCAGACGCAGCAGGTTGTGGGAGACCAGTGGTTCCAGACGCAGCAGGTTGTGGGAGACCAGTGGTTCCAGACGCAGCAGGTTGTGGGAGACCAGTGGTTCCAGACGCAGCAGGTTGTGGGAGACCAGTGGTTCCAGACGCAGCAGGTTGTGGGAGACCAGTGGTTCCAGACGCAGCAGGTTGTGGGAGACCAGTGGTTCCAGACAGTCTGACATCCTTGGTATGGCGAAACAGACTCTGATATTTAAACCCTGCTGCTCTCTAGGCATCAGGTCCAGCAAGTTTTAGACCCTCTAAATGCAATTACTTTTTTTATTTAACTGTTTGTATTTATTTATTTATTTATTTATTTATTTATTTATTTATTTATTTATTTATTTATTTATTTATTTATTTATTTATTTATTTATTTATTTATTTGTTTATTTATTTATTTAATTATTTATTATTAATATTATTATTTTTTATTAGGTCGTAAGTGCTGACGGTCTTAAGTTGCATAGGTCGTAAGTCGAGACAAAATATGATTTCCTAACCATCCATTTACATAGTGAGCTATCATCCAACCAACTGAACTAACAAACAGCTAAGTAAACAACCAACCAACCAGCCTACCCACCAGCCAACCCACCAACAAATAAACCAACCAACTAAATAACAAAATTGCTGAGCCACTAAACAACCAGTTCACAAAATCTACAACAAACTAACGATCAAACGAAAAAAACAACAACTAATTAACCAATAAATCAACCAAGCAACGAAGCGAAAAAACCTAACTCACTGGTAGAACCAGATACATACTCTATTGTGTCCCCACAGCTGCAGATCGTTCACTACAAGAAATCACTGGCCAACCTGACCCGAGCTGTGTTTGAGCAGGAGGGACTAGCTGTTCTTGCAGTCTTCTTCGAGGTATGTACTGAGGTCACGCAAACAGGTCGAGGATTTCCTCGTCGACATTATCATCGTCATCATCATCTTTACCATCATCTAATCATACTCACCAGCACCACCACCATCTTCATAATCATCATCTATCATCATATGTCCTTCTAATAAGCTTAGGCGGACATGGTTGGTCCCCTCACATGGGATCAGGTTCACAATTGTCTCCCTTTCATATCACGTGGTCTACTCACATGGGATCAGGTTCACAATTGTCTCCCTTTCATATCACGTGGTCTACTCACATGGGATCAGGTTCCCAATTGTCTCCCTTTCATATCACGTGGTCACCTCACCAGAATGTCTTGTTACTGTTGACCACAGTGAGCAGCATTGAAACGTTACAACGAGCATAGAGCGAGAGGAAGACCTCAGAAAATATGGAGTGATGGCATTACAGAAATGAACATCAATCTTAATATTGCTCTCTACAGAGCTTATCAATTAACGTTACATCTCCCCCCCCCCCCCGACACTTCGCTGAGGAACAAGGTTAAGGAGGAGGAGAATAAGAAGAAGAAGAATAAGAAGAAGAAGAAGAAGAAGAAGAAGAAGAAGAAGAAGAAGAAGAAGAAGAAGAAGAAGAAGAAGAAGAAGAAGAAGAAGAAGAAGAAGAAGAAGAAGAAAGAGGAAGAAGAAGAAGAAGAAGAAGAAGAAGAAGAAGAAGAAGAAGAAGAAGAAGAAGAAGAAGAAGAAGAAGAAGAAGAAGAAGAAGAAGAAGAAGAAGAAGAAGAAGAACAAGAACAAGAAGAAGAAGAAGAAGAAGAAGAAGAAGAAGAAGAAATAATAATAATAATAATAAGAAGAAGAAGAAGAAGAAAAAGAAGAAGAAGAAGAAGAAGAAGAAGAAGAAGAAGAAGAAGAAGAAGAAGAAGAAGAAGAAGAAGAAGAAGAAGAAGAAGAAGAAGAAGAAGAAGAAGAAGAAAAAAGAAAAAGAAGAAGGAGGAGGAGGAGTAGGAGGAAGAGGAGAAGCAGAAGAGATAAAAGAATTACAGCAACAACGAAAAAAAAAAACCCCACGAAAGAGAACAGAAAGAATAAGGAGAAGATTGAAAACAAGAAGACAAAAAAAAAACAAAAAAAGAAAAACATGTGTACAACCTGCATCATTTTTGTTTTCCTTCGTAAATGTGCAGCGTCACAAGTTGATACATAATCTGTCGTATGGAGATTTGACTGTTTGTTTCAGATCTCTGCAAAAGACAACCCTGCCTTTGATACGTTAGTGAAGAGTCTTCGTGTGGTCAGGGTGCCAGGTCAGTTTGTGGTGGATACAGTTTACAGAATTATGTTGCAGTTTGTGTTTTAGAGAATTAGGATACACTCTGTGTGAGAGATAATTATGATATAACGCGTGGAAGAGGATATGATACAATGTGTGGGAAATAATTATGATTTGATGTGTGGCAGTTAATTATGTTATAATCTGAGGGAGATAATTGCGATATAACGTGTGGAGATTATTATGATATAATGTGTGGGAGATATTTATGATATAATGTGTGAGAGATGATTATAATTTATTGTGTGAGAAATGATTATGATTTAACGTGTGGGAGTTGAGTATTAGGTAATGTGTGGGAGATAATATTTTATAACGTGTGGGAGGTAAGAATGAACTAATTCTTATGTAGGGAAGAATTAGGATATAAATTGTATGGGAGAAAATTATTATATAGCTTATGATAGACATAATTTCACTACGGCTTTTGTCGAAGAGAATTTACTTGCAGTTTGTGTGGGACAGAATTATGATATAACTTGTTTAAGAGAAATATGTGACACAACTTTGGTGAGTGTGAATTATCACAAACTGATAATAAAAACACAAGTAACTGACAAGTGTACCTGTAAACTGATAAACAAATAATAATATCTACGTAAACGTTTATGCTAATGATTGCGATGTTTATGCTGACAATACTTTGTTTCTCAGGAGTAACACATAGCTCACCCCTCCCCTCCCCCTAAAAATACCTAATCTGAAAAAAAAAGTCCTTATACAATTTCTCAAGATGCAGGTGATACAGATTTAGTTGCGTATCCTTTACAGGACGTTACAAAACCAACACCAGCATTTTTTGGCTGTTGTGGTTTTAGTAGGCACATTTTAGGTTCAGTAGTTTGCCATTGCCTCAGAACGGTCAGCTCCCGGTACCACTGTCGCAATAATGGCAAGCCAAATCGTCAGCAGCTGGGATCGAACCCGGCACCCCGGCATTACGAAGCGCGTTCGCAACGCCTAAACCACAGACGCCAATATAATAATTGTAATATAAACCCAACCCTAAAAATAAGCCCTAGTTTAGATCGTGAACCGGACGTATATTGTTTGCCTTTAAACAACGACCAACGTACTGAATTATAAAGACATATCTTAAGAAGATATTATTAAAATTATTATCAGAATACATGTGCATTTTTGTACTTCAATTAATTTTGTTGCAAAGTCACCATATCGTCGTGTCCCTATCGAGTTCGACGAAATGCAGCAGGGAATGATCGGGGCCTGGCTTCATGACCCAGGTCGGCCCACCTTCCGAGATTGTTTATGGAAGTCATGGGTCGAAACAATCGTCGACCAAGGATCTCTACTGATGACTTGTGGACCGCTGATGTGCACACTTCCGTGTGGAGTTCTTCTTCTTTTTGGGGTGCCTAAAAGAATATTAGGTCCAGCTCTGTCTGCCCATATAAGCCTGGATGCATGGAAAAAAAATGCTTTAATTTACTTTTTTACTTTAAAGAAAAATAAGATGTGCCATAAAGAAAAGTCTAAAGGTGTTTTTTGGAGCAAAAATTAATAAGAGTCTGATTTATTTTCCTAGGAAAATCTGGATCATAGTGACTTTTGTTATCATCCCAATGTAACCCACTATTTGCAGAACGTCGCTCTTTTTTTCAGTCTGCATAAAAGTCTTTAACAAACTCTCCCTTCTCTTGCACTTGTCTAGCTCACGTGTCACTTATTTCATGTGCCCAATGCCATGTCTGGCGGCCCCTGTCCATTCTTCCTTGTAGTATACCTTCTGCTGTTATTATTTCCAATCCACTGTGGCGCTCGATGTGGCCAAAATAGTTCAGCTTCAGGGACAAGATACTGTAATAGTTCAGCTTCAGGGACAGGATGCTGTAATAGTTCAGTTTCAGGGACAGGATGCTGTATTAGTTCAGCTTCAGGGACAGGATGCTGTAATAGTTCAGCTTCAGGGACAAGATACTGTAATAGTTCAGCTTCAGGGACAGGATGCTGTATTAGTTCAGTTTCAGGGACAGGATGCTGTAATAGTTCAGCTTCAGGGACAAGATGCTGTAATAGTTCAGCTTCAGGGACAAGATGCTATAATAGTTCAGCTTCAGGAACAAGATGCTGTAATAGTTCAGCTTCAGGGACAGGATGCTCATGGACACATACTCATGGATTAGGAGATAGTCTACGTCTCACATCCTCAAGGACTAGGAGATAGTCTACGTCTCACATCCTCATGGACTAGGAGATAGTCTATGTCTCACATCCTCATGGACTAGGAGATAGTCTACGTCTCACATCCTCATGGACTAGGAGATAGTCTACGTCTCACATCCTCAAGGACTAGGAGATAGTCTACGTCTCACATCCTCAAGGACTAGGAGATAGTCTACGTCTCACATCCTCATGGACTAGGAGATAGTCTATGTCTCACATCCTCATGGACTAGGAGATAGTCTACGTCTCACATCCTCATGGACTAGGAGATAGTCTACGTCTCACATCCTCAAGGACTAGGAGATAGTCTACGTCTCACATCCTCATGGACTAGGAGATAGTCTATGTCTCACATCCTCATGGACTAGGAGATAGTCTACGTCTCACATCCTCATGGACTAGGAGATAGTCTACGTCTCACATCTTTATGGACTAGGAGATACTCTACGTCTCACATCTTTATGGACTAGGAGATAGTCTATGTCTCACATCCTCAAGGACTAGGAGATAGTCTACGTCTCACATCCTCATGGACTAGGAGATAGTCTACGTCTCACATCTTTATGGACTAGGAGATAGTCTACGTCTCACATCCTCAAGGACTAGGAGATATTCTACGTCTCACATCCTCATGGACTAGGAGATAGTCTACGTCTCACATCCTCAAGGACTAGGAGATAGTCTACGTCTCACATCCTCATGGACTAGGAGATAGTCTATGTCTCACATCCTCATGGACTAGGAGATAGTCTACGTCTCACATTCTCAAGGACTAGGAGATAGTCTACGTCTCACATCCTCAAGGACTAGGAGATAGTCTACGTCTCACATCCTCAAGGACTAGGAGATAGTCTACGTCTCACATCCTCATGGACTAGGAGATAGTCTACGTCTCACATCCTCATGGACTAGGAGATAGTCTACGTCTCACATCCTAGTGGACTAGGAGATACTCTACGTCTCACATCCTCAAGGACTAGGAGATAGTCTACGTCTCACATCCTCGTGGACTAGGAGATACTCTACGTCTCACATCCTCATGGACTAGGAGATAGTCTATGTCTCACATCCTCGTGGACTAGGAGATACTCTACGTCTCACATCCTCATGGACTAGGAGATAGTCTACGTCTCACATCCTCGTGGACTAGGAGATAGTCTACGTCTCACATCCTCATGGACTAGGAGATAGTCTACGTCTCACATCCTCGTGGACTAGGAGATAGTCTACGTCTCACATCCTCGTGGACTAGGAGATATTCTACGTCTCACATCCTCAAGGACTAGGAGATAGTCTATGTCTCACATCCTCATGGACTAGGAGATAGTCTACGTCTCACATCCTAGTGGACTAGGAGATACTCTACGTCTCACATCCTCAAGGACTAGGAGATAGTCTACGTCTCACATCCTCGTGGACTAGGAGATACTCTACGTCTCACATCCTCATGGACTAGGAGATAGTCTATGTCTCACATCCTCGTGGACTAGGAGATACTCTACGTCTCACATCCTCATGGACTAGGAGATAGTCTACGTCTCACATCCTCGTGGACTAGGAGATAGTCTACGTCTCACATCCTCGTGGACTAGGAGATAGTCTACGTCTCACATCCTCATGGACTAGGAGATAGTCTACGTCTCACATCCTCGTGGACTAGGAGATAGTCTACGTCTCACATCCTCGTGGACTAGGAGATATTCTACGTCTCACATCCTCAAGGACTAGGAGATAGTCTATGTCTCACATCCTCATGGACTAGGAGATAGTCTATGTCTCACATCCTCATGGACTAGGAGATAGTCTATGTCTCACATCCTCATGCTGCCGCAGGGAAGATAACATGCTCTCAGCTGGTTGACCCTGATGTCCATGCTAGTGCAAACTCACAAACCTTTACCGCTGGTTTATCCTAGAGACAGACCAATATGGGATATAACCAGGTACTAAACCATAGACATTTAGACGACTGTAGTGATCACCATTATTCTGGCACTGGTAATACTAACAATAACAGCAACCCATCTTTTTGCTCTGAAGAATCGAACGTTGCCACTCAGCCGTTCAGGCTCAGCTCTGTCCTACCAACAAAGAGCAGCAGCTTCTACAGATATCCCGGCAGCTTGACCATCCCTGGATGTTTGGAAACCGTCATCTGGACCGTCTTTAAGGAGCCCATTAAGATATCTCCGTCGCAGGTAAGACTGTCTGAAGCGTAGGCTCCGAAACTGATTAGTCGTACAGTTCTCTGTTGAGCTGAATTAACTTGAGCCATAAACTTCATCACAGCATTCCGGACATTGCTATACTCGCCGCGCTCATAACTTTAGCTACATGGTGTATTTTAATGATGTACTTATGGGTGAAAATTTGCCTTTCCTATTTTGTGCAATCAGCGTCTGTGAAGCTAATTATTTTGGGTACTGTTTCCCACATTTCGGCGCTATTCAGAGTCGATTATACTGGATACATAGATAACAGTAATAGGATGAGACCCTTCAGTGTCAGGAAGTGACATTATAAATTGTTGAACAGCCTAATAAAAAAATTAAAAAAACTGCCACCGTTATGAAACACATGTTCGAACAAAAATTGTCTTTCTTTAATAGTTATTAGCATTGTAATTATTATCAGTTGCTAAAACACCAGTATAGAACGTCAATAAGTCTTCCGACAAAGTCCTTCTGTCAGCATGAACAACATGGGTGAAAGACGAAAGGAATCCTATGATGGGAAAACAAGTCTACTTGAGTGCGGCATCTCTGACATGGAAAACTTCACCGAAGATTG